CAGATTTCTTATGGGCAAGATAGGGAAATTGACAGTACGGATTTCTTCTGAACACACAGGTTAAGCTACTTTGGGTAGACTGTGATAGCTTCAACTACTCTCTGTCTCTTTATATATTGGTAGTCCAGAAGTTTTTTGTATTGCAAAATTGTGGTTGGTACTTGTGAGGGAATTAATTTTGATGTTCTAAAACAAGTTGACCTAATCGCCACGTGTGTGATGCATCTTATATTTTCCTAAGACGAAATGAAGATCGTGTAAAATTCCTGCTAGGTATTCAAAATCTGCGTGATTCTCACTTCTCTTCCTAAAATGTAGGCGGTTACTAAACACTTCTCTAAGATGTTAACTATCGTGTTTAACCAGACATATTGGTCACTGGTACACTTCATTTGACGGTCTACCTGTTGCGTAGCACTGCATAGTTGTCTAACAAGCTTTTATGTTAGGTTAAACACAAGCGTTTTCTTCAGGCTTCGAAACTTATTGTGTAGACTTTATGCATTATTGACAAATATATTTTATGCAATGAAGACAAGACACAGAAAACTGAATACTTTATAAAACAAATTTTAATTCATAAACACATAAATCATCAATGTCTCGTAAACAAATGAAAAAATATATATTCAAGATCACTTGTTCTTAAATCTGAGGGAGATCTTTTGACATTATTCTCTACCTGTATCGACTTTCATTCAATAACATACCTTTCAGATTCAGTAGATTTTGTATGTAGTAAAGCAAGATAAATTAGTCACGAAATGCTAAATTTAATTCAGACAAATTCTAGTTCGTCTTAATATATGTTGAACAAATCAAACGATATTAGATGAATTCCACCTCTGGGTACCTAGATTTGTACAGTTTTGCTTGCAATACATTTTGTAAATGATATTAAGAAATTACTAGTGAAACACTTATTTTATTGTTCATGCTCAATCTTAAGCGATGTTTACATTCATCAACCATTCATTGACATTCTCGTCATACACCAGTATGACTCAGTTCAGCAGTTGTGAGATAAAGCAATCTCTGGAGAAAACGAATCATATTCAAGTTCCTCAGGATGGGTTATTAAACACATGTAAAATTCTAAAAGAACCTCCCATCTTTACAGCAGCTCTCAGGATGCCTAGACAATGAAAGCTTCTCAATTAAATCGTCTAGGTCAGCGAATGTAACCGAATTACTATCACCACGTAGAGCTACCAATCTCCACGACAAACGAATTAATCTTTTTCGAGTTACAGGAGAATAGTGTGACTCATACTGATTTTGAGCTCCAACCATTTGATTTTAAAATATTCTTTGTTTTCAGTCAACTATTGTTTCATAGTGTTCATAGTGTAGTATTTCAGCACTCTTTAGTTATAATTGACTTTAATGCACAAAAATATATCTAACGTGGTATTGAATTCAGGTAGAACAAACTAAGAAAGCATGCAATTGTTAATAGATATTTTGTTCATTTTTGAAAGTAATAAACTCTACAGGTTGACAATCTAATAGAAAATTAGATTTAAGACAGTCATATCTGATAGCAATCTTTTGGTAGAAATTGAAAATACCGCAATTTCTAACCCGAGGTAGTCTGTGATTAAGCAGAAATAATATTGTCTGAAGTGAACATCTGTTACTGTTTCCTACTTATCTCGACTGGTTCTCTAGATTGACATAATCGTTTTTGAAGTCAACGAATCCCTACAACACATCAAAATAAACAATATTTTAGAATTTTTTGAAGTACAGTAATTTCATGAATCTATGCACTTTTAGACTGAAGTATGAGGATAACGAAGTGAATGAAATTTATGTAGTCTTTTTTATTATGTTCTCTACTGTGGAAGGCTTTATTGAGAAGCATTCATTGTCCTTCTACAAAACATCTCTTACGCTAACTTTATAAACAGCCAACTGAGCTGCAAATCTTTTACATAGTTTCAGAATTAGACTGTATAGGTAAAATAAATGATGCCTATAAGGAAAAACTCTAAATCTAAATAAAACAGTCTAATCGTACAAATTTTTCTACGATGCTGTGACAATTCCCACAATTCAAATTGCTTGTGTTTATTTCACTCGACCAGAAGTTTTTCTTATTAATATACCTTTAAAATGAATAATTTGCGTTTTGGTCAAAAGAACCAACCGGTTGGTCTGTCTGTCTGTCTGTTTTCGACATAGAACTTTGCACAAATGTGAGGTAGTTCAAGTCGCCACACTTCCTCCGTGTAGCACGCGAAGCAAGAGAAGAAAGTACAAGAAAAGCATAACAGAAACAGTGAGCAGAGGTGTGAGACAAAGGAGTAATAAAGAAAAACAAAACAGTTTCATTTGAGATCATAAGTCACAAGGAGTGGATGCATCTGCGCCACTGAGAACGATTTTGAGCCATGTCACCAATTGTTTCCAACCATAGATTTTTACCGTCCCGAGGACCCCAGCCTGGAAGTCTACACTTTCCTACGTGGCTTAGACCAACTGTTGTGGATTTCATTGACTGGTGAAGCCAAGTTTTTGTTTGACCGCCGCTAGCTTTTTTCCAGCCTGACCCTATATCCGCTAACATTGCTCGTCGAGGGAGGCGATGGCTAGGCATACGTAACACATGTCCTAACCATCTCAGTCTTTGTAGCTTCACGACTTCGTCGATTGATTTCCCCTGTTTACCTAGAACTCTACGCCTAACCTCAATGTTGCTCACCTTATTATGCCACTTTACACGGGAAATAGAGCGCAGGCACCTATGATCAAAGACAGCTAGTCTTTTCATGTCTTCCACTCTCAGTGGCCAGGTCTCACAACCATAAAGGAGGACGAAGCGGACTGATGATCAGTACACCCGCCCTTTGGTCGATAGTCGAACATCTCGTCTACGCCAGAGTCGGCGTAAACTGGCAAATGAGAAACGAGCCCCTTGTATTCGTGCTGAGATTTCGTCGGTTGGTAATGTTGTATAAATATTTCGCGGAGTAAGCATATGATAAGAAACTTAGCTTAGTGAAAATAGAATACGCCACGCCAAATACATTCGCTGATGGTGTGTTAGCAATCCAAGTCAACTTTTGTCTGCTTTATCATTTGCATGCGCCAGTATCGCCGTGGAGGGTAATTCTCACTCATATGGCTTTCAACGTTTGTATATTTCTTCACTACGGTGAGTGGTGAGGACAAAACTTCGATCTGAGGCTTTCTCACATCCGCCTACAACGAAACACTGGGTGATAATAACCAGTTAAATGGGTTGTCATTTTGTACGATGAATGAGACAGAAGCTATAATCACACAGTTTTCACTCTCACTGCTCAGTGGAAGATTAGGTTATCTTTCACTTTTTTTGTATGCATTGTTTGTAGGAATTTCAGACGAAAGATTGATTCATATGAGCTAATAATTATCACATAATTTTTAAGAATGGAAAGTACACAAAATAACTACTATAGAAGTCAATCGTTTATTGAATTGTAGTAAACGAAAGTATAACATAAACCTGACAGTTTATAATGTTATTAGCTATCGTAACATAAAAATAACTTTCAGTGAGGCAATTAATACAACCTTTCAGTAAATGAAGCATATTGCACTAGGCTTTTACTTTAAAGAAGAATGTCAAATGTTTCAGCATATTTGTTTCAATGTAACCAGACTTAAAGGCAGTTCATCACTGGCTTTACAGCCACTATAATATGAGTTTAAAACTACTCATAATTTCACATGTTATTATTTCAGTGGTGCACTTTAGTCGTATAGCCTTGCTTTTTAAACAAACACATACCAACAAAATGTGGAAATAATCAAGGTGATTTGATTTTATGCGGTTTTTTAAAGCATATAAGCTGTTCCTCAGTCTTGTATACGAGATACAAGGAGTAATTTATATCATAAGATTTGTGGAGATTGGGATTAATTTAACTTCGATCTTTAGATTTCTTCAAGAACCAACATCAGTTAGAGAGATCATTGAAAACCACAAAGTATTGGGAGGCTGTTTCTTCCTATTTTGAAACTCTTGAATAGTGTGCACCCGTAATCCCAAACAAGGACCAAACCTGTGACCTATAGATTAGGAGATGAAGTTGGTTGACTATTCAGCCACTTCAGCTGGAACTCAGTAACCCGTAAATTCTAACCAACTCTAAACAATGCCTTTGGTGATGTTGGTTCGAGATTAAATCTGACAATTGAAACACAATGAATAAACTAAGATCAGAATAGTGAAGATTGTTATTGCTCCCAGTGTTGCTGACTATAACCAGTTAAAAATTTTTTTAAAGCTTTTTTCATGATAGGAAAACAAACAGATTTAAGGCAAACACATAACAGACACTCATCACCATCATCTGACCTGTTTGTAACACTAACATTTTTGTGCCCAAGACATTCACTCGAGCAGGTAGGCAGATGTTCATATGCGTTGTAATAGGCTGGCATCTTGTCCTTATAGAAAAGCCTATATTTGCACACGTACGCACGTATGTGTAACCATGTATACAAAAACACGTTGCCTGTTCACACATACGAAATTAGTGTACTGAGAGATATACAATAATGCACTGAAATTCCTTGATGAAAATGTTCATATTTCTGGGATTTTCTGAATAAAGATGAATCACATGTTGCCTATTAAGTAACCTATCAGAATATTTGTAGGTCACAATTATTTATTTAAATGTATATTACTTCCCTATCCAATTTATTTTACGATACCTAGAGCTTATATATTTTGCTTTGTAGGCAGCCTATTCTATGTGCTGACGTTTTATGAAGTTGTTTACTTTTCCTGCACATATACATTTGTATATATGAATCCTTTTTTACACATACAGTATCCACCAGATCGATTGGGCACTATGGTTTTGAGCTGAAACAAAAGGTTTTAACTAGATTCTGCTAAAATATTTTAAACTGGATTACATGTAACAAAAAAAAGGATATACATTTATCACTTTGGTTTCCATAAACTTTGAAATGAACTTCTACTTTCTCCAAAACTCTAGATTGTAGTTTCAATGAGAGAGATTTTGACCATTGTTCTTCGACTACGGTATCAAATTTAACTTGTTTAAGTAATCGGTACATTTTAACCAAATGCACAGTTGAAGAATTCAGATCAATTTGGCATCCTCAACCGTTCATAGTGAAAATTTATTTAGAACATCGTGGAGTCTCCAATTTAGAAAATATAGAAACTGAAATTTTGGTTAGTTTACAGGACAAAAGATTATATTTTACAGACATGCAATACACGGAATCCACCGATAAAATGGATAGTACAATCACAACCATACTGCCAAGTGCCAATTTAACAGTACTGTTATCCAATTCAAATCAGACAGAAGTTGAGGATTTCCAGTTCCCTAAAGATGATGTGCCTAAACCACCATTACTCATCGTGAAACCCTTTCAATGTCATTCTCTTCCCGGGAAATTTGTTTTGCAGTGCTATCGTCGTGAAATACGCTTTACTTGGATACCTCCAGATGATAAAATTGCCAAAGCTATGGTCAAATTCCGTGAGGTAAGTGAATAGTGATCAAGAGCATTTCAAATAGTTACCCGATATGCATGTTTCACTACTTAGGTGATATATATGTTAGTGCGGAATACAGGTTTAATTCTCATACGGGGGAAAAGTTATCACTCTGACTGATATTACAGGTTAACGCCATCTTTAATTGTTGCTTTTCGATCACCAGAAGAATTTAGTTATCAAAGTAGGCTCTTGTGATCATCAAAAATTTCTTTTTATTAAGATAATGATGAGAAGTTGGTGAAGTCAAAGGTCAGAATAAAAGTTTCGTTCCAGTCAAGGTGCATACCTTTGTGTTGCACCCAATTACTGAAGTTGAAAATAACACCTTTTCTTGTAAATGCTAGCAAATATCTATACTAACCTGCTAATGTTGCTAATATTTTTTAAGCTGAGGTTACTAGAAAACCAACTATCATTCACAGAATATCACTTCTTTGTAAAGAGTGTTCACTAATTAACACTCATTAGTATTCTCAGAAGTAAATTTCAAGTCTAAAGAGTCAAGAACACATATTGTGACTGCTGAATCGATAATAAGTAATACTTTTAAAGAGGACAGCAATACTCAAACATCTCAGATGTGAAACAGAATGATTTGAGCGCGTACTCGGAGTTATTTTCACTCAGAGGAAAAATAATATCTTAAGCATTGTGTTATAGAATTCATGCTAATTTTTAGTCAAAATGTTATTTTGGATACCAAAAGTTCCATAAATGGCGAATTTTCGCTAACTGCTTTATATTATTTAACAAATATATTTATTTGCATTTGCATCCCACCCAACTTTGTGGGATGTTTATGTTGTAATCTAATCAGTTACGCAGACTAGGATCATCACATAAAGCCAAGAGACAAAGCTTTATAGAACTGAAAATTCGCTGAATTTGTTTGTACTCAGCTTTATTGACTCAGTTCTGTTAAAATTTTATAAACCAAGAGCTATACAGTGAGGCGCAGAGTAGTTTATACCATCCTAATTAAATTTCCATCAAATAACATATTTTTTCTGTCAGATATGAATTGCCAATAGAATTGGCCTATTGTCTAAGAGAAATAAAAGCAGGATAATTTTCTATCTTGACTTGGATGCTAGCAGTCATATCACTTTGTTTCAATTTTCAATAGTTGTTTTCCCATAATAACTGTGCATAGAGGCAAATGTTACAACAGAATAAAAACCCAGTTTTGAGCAGTTTTCCGAGTTCTGGGTGAAAAACTCATACTCATCTTTAAGTAATTACATGATTATTACTTGAATTGATTATCGTAAATATTGTTGAGATTTACTTCACTTATTTGGATATGTAATATAGCTGTTCATTTGTGTGTATGTTTGTCTCATAGATGCAGTTAGGTAGTTTTAAATGAAGGTTAACAGTTTCTCACTAAGTAAAAGTTATGTTCAGAAATGACACTTTTTAATTCTCAAGGAGAAGTAATTTGATGGGTTTTCAAATGAAGCTGTATACTCTCGCCGAACATGCACATGGTCCGAGGTTCGATCTCCTGCTGACGCACACCTGATATCTATGGTCAGCCTGCAAAATTTGGGCTACCGATATCCATGCTGAAAATTCCATACTTGTACGAAAAATACGGTGTGGAATCAAGCTGTAATCAAAAAAATAAAAAAATAGATAGAAAAAAAGTAAAAATACTATTCACTTCCTAGAAGACTTGCATTATAATACACGGCTTAAGTGGTATCTTGGGTTGCTTTATAATGAGAAAGATCACCATTTAACTTGGAATCTTGAAACTGCCGAAAATTAGAATCAATTGTGCAATTCTAAATACTACTGTGTCGAAACAAGTTACAGAATCCTATGAAATATGCAGAAAGGAGAAACACCAATTTCTGATCTTCGCCTGGCAAAGTTAAGCTCATTTGAAATTCTCTGAAAAAATTCTCTTACATTTACTCTAAACTTCTCAAGATACAGCTGTGGTTTATTTTTCGGTCGTGGCTACATTTTTGCTGCACGTAAATTGATGGCGTTCAGTGTTAAGTTTAAACTTTAAGTGAGTAGACAGTATAACAAAAATAAGTTGACTCACGTCATATGAACAACAAAAAGGTGTGAATGATGACTATAGGTATACTTTTTGTAGTCTGAAAGTGATTTACTTATACTTGGAATTTCAATAGAATACTCTCCATTTAGCGTTCAAATACCATTCGGATCACAGGAGTTAGTGTCTTGTAAATATGAGGCTTTATTTGCGCATTCTTTAGTAAAATCATTTTGAGTGCCTTTGAGTTTGGTGTTTCACCACGTTCTACATTATTTCCAGGGCTATTTTAATTAGTGCTTTAGTGATTTTTTACTTTCCATCGTCCAAAATGTAATTAATGTAAAGTTGCCTTGAAACTAATACAACACTAGAAACCACATCAATTAAGAAACATTATTATTATCATCATTATAATTCTGTTTTATGTTGTTTTTTCTTATCAAGATCTGTGTAGATGTAAAGCGGAAAGAATGTGATATAGAACTGATAGGAAAATTGCACCAATAAAGATCATGTCATAAAATAATCTCACATTGACTTTTTCTTGCAAATATGCTTTGAAAAAGCACCCATTAGATTAGCTAAACATGACGTAAGATGAAAGTAGAATTTTTATACTAAACCAATAAGTAGGATTATTCTTTAAGAGAGAAGTGTAGTGTTATGTGATTTTAAGATTCTGGTGAACAAATATTAGACTTTTAGTGAAAACTTACTACTTTATATAGATCGTTCTGCAGTTCTGTGACCCTAAAATTATATATGAGTATAAAACTTGGGTAGCGTCAGTGGCTCAGCAGTTAGGAAGCTCGCCGACCATGCACATGGTCCGGGGTTCGATCCTCGGCCGACGCATTCCTTTACCTCGCTAACCCAGAAATAATGCTGGTAAGGAGGAAAGGTTGAGCATGAGGCTAGAAACCCCATCCTGTAAAATAAGCACTGCTACAGAAACTTTAAGCCACTAGCTTGAAGCCCTATGTTCCACTGGGAACATGAAGAAAAAAGAAAATAAAACTGAGGCACTGTGGTAGAGTGTAACTCCATTAGGGATAAGATTTGGATAAGTCATACAGTGTTACGTCATCACTTAATGTTAATGTGTAACACTGTGTGACTTATCTAAAATCAGAGTTTAATTCTCAATCAGATGTCTATGCAATAGAAAACATCTTAATTGTTCCACTGTTAACTACAGCGATAGGTGTTTATGTTCAACATCAGCTCTCTGAAAACATACCTAACAGGTAGATGCAGTGCTAATGACTTTAAAATCTACTCAAAAACTGTTTAAAATTTACTCACATGATAGATTTTAGAAAAGAATTCAAAAATGCACCATAGTAATTCTTCAGATGCTTTTTGAAAGAATTTACAATGTTAACTGCTTGACAAGTTCAGTATGTAAACACTGATTCAGAAAGTACAATTAAAATGTACTGATAAGAGGTGACCACAAGACAAAGGAAAAAAAAATTAAGACTTTCAGTCTCTTTTAAATACCTTTAATACACTTACTGATCAACTGTTACTCACTAGGAAAAGGTACTTAGAAGTACAGAAATCTATCATGTATTTTAACTGAATTTCAAGTGTTTATTTAGAGAACAATGCCGCATATCCAGACTTGATACAAAGTGAAATGTTGACCTATAGGAGAGTGCTGCAAAACGATAGAAAGTAGGCTATTTCATCCATTTGACAGTTTTTGTTTTGCTTGATAAAATTGAATAAAAATGTTCTCACTGTTTTATCTAATTTTTTCCTCCTCAAAGTTCTTCATTAAAAAAATACAAAATGGATTGTAAACTTTCATCGGCTTTCGGAATTAATATTAATAGCATGCCTATCTTGCATTGTTTTTAAATGCTTCAAATACTTTTTAAAAAGACGTCAGTAACTCACTAAGAATAACTTTTGCATTGTATGATAAATTCCTTCTATTTCATAGGGTATTCACCATCTGAGTAAGAGCTGAATGAGAATTACATATAAGCAATCAATGTGACATAATTTAGACGTATTTCAACTGAATATTCATAAATTATAACCAAAATAGAAACATTATTTAGTGATAAGGGAGGAATGTCCTGGAAATTTTAGGTAATTCACGCATAAGTGAAGACAATTACCTATTCATATGGAAAGTTATTCAGCCGAAGTGAAAGAGGTCAAGTATAACGAAGATATTAATAACATCAGCAAGAAAATAGATGAGTACAAAAGTGACGTCATAAAAGTAAAATGAAGTTTTAGTCAGTCAAGGTGACATCCCCAGTTTTCACCAAGGTAGTAAGTAATAAATTAGTAACATTGTCTTTTTGTGCACATTATTCAGGTTTCACTATTTGGATGGTCATATATTCAGTAATTCATAGTAGCTTTGAAGTTTATCCTGCAAAGTCGTTTTCTTTGTGTTGTTTAGGAGAACTAACTGTATAAAAGAAATTTAGGTGGTACTGCCAAAATATTTTTCTTTTGAACGAGAAAATGCTATTTATCAAATTTATACACCTTAAATAGTAGGTTTCGTTGATGGCTTTCGGTTGAGTTGGGAAGTTTAATGAAGTCAAGCCAGTATCTTTCAGACAATTTGATCATTAATCTACGTGTTCAACCACTAATGTGAAAATTATAAAAGTTTAAGTCTAACAAAAACCACTTAAGTGATGGATTTATGAATAAAAAGGTTAGTAAAGAAAGTATAATATTCAATTCATTTTCAAGAGAGGTTTATTGCTTTAAGGGATAAACGAAGGTTGCAACAATTTGCGGAAAATCGGGAGGAGGTTGTCCTACATTGTGGCAGAATAACATTCACAAGCAATAATCATTCACACCAAATTTCCCTCATAATAGACCCAACAGAAAACAATCAAACGATTGCAAACTTATTGGTAGTATTACCATTTTGGCTTGAAAATCGCTTCGGAAACATACAAAAATGGGACTTCAGGGCGAATATCGT